CCCAAACTCCATACACTAAATTATTCTCAGATTTGAAGCCGAAATCCATGAAAAAAGGCACTCAGAAAAATTGAAAAATTGATAAATCACCCCAAATTGCTTAACACGATTTTATCTCAGGAACTATAAGTGTAAATGAGCTGAAATTTTCAGGGATTGTAGTCCTTTGAAAAAGATAAGATTCAGTGAAAGATTCAGCTTTCTATCTATAATAGAAAAAAAGTTATGACCTTTCAAATTATTCCAAAATCTAAATCATAAGGTAGGTACCTTCTTACTAAAACGATGAAATTTCAAATTTTTTTTTGTCGAGATTTTGTATCCTCATGGTCAATCAACATACCCCAAACTCCATACACTAAATTATTCTCAGATTTGAAGCCGAAATCCATGAAAAAAGGCACTCAGAAAAATTGAAAAATTGATAAATCACCCCAAATTGCTTAACACGATTTTATCTCAGGAACTATAAGTGTAAATGAGCTGAAATTTTCAGGGATTGTAGTCCTTTGAAAAAGATAAGATTCAGTGAAAGATTCAGCTTTCTATCTATAATAGAAAAAAAGTTATGACCTTTCAAATTATTCCAAAATCTAAATCATAAGGTAGGTACCTTCTTACTAAAACGATGAAATTTCAAATTTTTTTTTGTCGAGATTTTGTATCCTCATGGTCAATCAACATACCCCAAACTCCATACACTAAATTATTCTCAGATTTGAAGCCGAAATCTATGAAAAAAGACACTCAGAAAAATTGATAAATCACCCCAAATTGCTTAACACGATTTTATCTCAGGAACTATAAGTGTAAATGAGCTGAAATTTTCAGGGATTGTAGTCCTTTGAAAAAGATAAGATTCAGTGAAAGATTCAGCTTTCTATCTATAATAGAAAAAAAGTTATGACCTTTCAAATTATTCCAAAATCTAAATCATAAGGTAGGTACCTTCTTACTAAAACGATGAAATTTCAAATTTTTTTTTGTCGAGATTTTGTATCCTCATGGTCAATCAACATACCCCAAACTCCATACACTAAATTATTCTCAGATTTGAAGCCGAAATCTATGAAAAAAGACACTCAGAAAAATTGAAAAATTGATAAATCACCCCAAATTGCTTAACACGATTTTATCTCAGGAACTATAAGTGTAAATGAGCTGAAATTTTCAGGGATTGTAGTCCTTTGAAAAAGATAAGATTCAGTGAAAGATTCAGCTTTCTATCTATAATAGAAAAAAAGTTATGACCTTTCAAATTATTCCAAAATCTAAATCATAAGGTAGGTACCTTCTTACTAAAACGATGAAATTTCAAATTTTTTTTTTGTCGAGATTTTGTATCCTAATGGTCAATCAACATACCCCAAACTCCATACACTAAATTATTCTCAGATTTGAAGCCGAAATCCATGAAAAAAGGCACTCAGAAAAATTGAAAAATTGATAAATCACCCCAAATTGCTTAACACGATTTTATCTCAGGAACTATAAGTGTAAATGAGCTGAAATTTTCAGGGATTGTAGTCCTTTGAAAAAGATAAGATTCAGTGAAAGATTCAGCTTTCTATCTATAATAGAAAAAAAGTTATGACCTTTCAAATTATTCCAAAATCTAAATCATAAGGTAGGTACCTTCTTACTAAAACGATGAAATTTCAAATTTTTTTTTGTCGAGATTTTGTATCCTCATGGTCAATCAACATACCCCAAACTCCATACACTAAATTATTCTCAGATTTGAAGCCGAAATCTATGAAAAAAGACACTCAGAAAAATTGATAAATCACCCCAAATTGCTTAACACGATTTTATCTCAGGAACTATAAGTGTAAATGAGCTGAAATTTTCAGGGATTGTAGTCCTTTGAAAAAGATAAGATTCAGTGAAAGATTCAGCTTTCTATCTATAATAGAAAAAAAGTTATGACCTTTCAAATTATTCCAAAATCTAAATCATAAGGTAGGTACCTTCTTACTAAAACGATGAAATTTCAAATTTTTTTTTGTCGAGATTTTGTATCCTCATGGTCAATCAACATACCCCAAACTCCATACACTAAATTATTCTCAGATTTGAAGCCGAAATCTATGAAAAAAGACACTCAGAAAAATTGATAAATCACCCCAAATTGCTTAACACGATTTTATCTCAGGAACTATAAGTGTAAATGAGCTGAAATTTTCAGGGATTGTAGTCCTTTGAAAAAGATAAGATTCAGTGAAAGATTCAGCTTTCTATCTATAATAGAAAAAAAGTTATGACCTTTCAAATTATTCCAAAATCTAAATCATAAGGTAGGTACCTTCTTACTAAAACGATGAAATTTCAAATTTTTTTTTGTCGAGATTTTGTATCCTCATGGTCAATCAACATACCCCAAACTCCATACACTAAATTATTCTCAGATTTGAAGCCGAAATCTATGAAAAAAGACACTCAGAAAAATTGAAAAATTGATAAATCACCCCAAATTGCTTAACACGATTTTATCTCAGGAACTATAAGTGTAAATGAGCTGAAATTTTCAGGGATTGTAGTCCTTTGAAAAAGATAAGATTCAGTGAAAGATTCAGCTTTCTATCTATAATAGAAAAAAAGTTATGACCTTTCAAATTATTCCAAAATCTAAATCATAAGGTAGGTACCTTCTTACTAAAACGATGAAATTTCAAATTTTTTTTTGTCGAGATTTTGTATCCTAATGGTCAATCAACATACCCCAAACTCCATACACTAAATTATTCTCAGATTTGAAGCCGAAATCCATGAAAAAAGGCACTCAGAAAAATTGAAAAATTGATAAATCACCCCAAATTGCTTAACACGATTTTATCTCAGGAACTATAAGTGTAAATGAGCTGAAATTTTCAGGGATTGTAGTCCTTTGAAAAAGATAAGATTCAGTGAAAGATTCAGCTTTCTATCTATAATAGAAAAAAAGTTATGACCTTTCAAATTATTCCAAAATCTAAATCATAAGGTAGGTACCTTCTTACTAAAACGATGAAATTTCAAATTTTTTTTTGTCGAGATTTTGTATCCTCATGGTCAATCAACATACCCCAAACTCCATACACTAAATTATTCTCAGATTTGAAGCCGAAATCTATGAAAAAAGACACTCAGAAAAATTGAAAAACTGATAAATCACCCCAAATTGCTTAACACGATTTTATCTCAGGAACTATAAGTGTAAATGAGCTGAAATTTTCAGGGATTGTAGTCCTTTGAAAAAGATAAGATTCAGTGAAAGATTCAGCTTTCTATCTATAATAGAAAAAAAGTTATGACCTTTCAAATTATTCCAAAATCTAAATCATAAGGTAGGTACCTTCTTACTAAAACGATGAAATTTCAAATTTTTTTTTGTCGAGATTTTGTATCCTCATGGTCAATCAACATACCCCAAACTCCATACACTAAATTATTCTCAGATTTGAAGCCGAAATCTATGAAAAAAGACACTCAGAAAAATTGATAAATCACCCCAAATTGCTTAACACGATTTTATCTCAGGAACTATAAGTGTAAATGAGCTGAAATTTTCAGGGATTGTAGTCCTTTGAAAAAGATAAGATTCAGTGAAAGATTCAGCTTTCTATCTATAATAGAAAAAAAGTTATGACCTTTCAAATTATTCCAAAATCTAAATCATAAGGTAGGTACCTTCTTACTAAAACGATGAAATTTCAAATTTTTTTTTGTCGAGATTTTGTATCCTAATGGTCAATCAACATACCCCAAACTCCATACACTAAATTATTCTCAGATTTGAAGCTGAAATCTATGAAAAAAGGCACTCAGAAAAATTGAAAAATTGATAAATCACCCCAAATTGCTTAACACGATTTTATCTCAGGAACTATAAGTGTAAATGAGCTGAAATTTTCAGGGATTGTAGTCCTTTGAAAAAGATAAGATTCAGTGAAAGTTTCAGCTTTCTATCTATAATAGAAAAAAAGTTATGACCTTTCAAATTATTCCAAAATCTAAATCATAAGGTAGGTACCTTCTTACTAAAACGATGAAATTTCAAATTTTTTTTTGTCGAGATTTTGTATCTTGATGGTCAATCAACATACCCCAAACTCCATACACTAAATTATTCTCAGATTTGAAGCCGAAATCTATGAAAAAAGACACTCAGAAAAATTGAAAAATTGATAAATCACCCCAAATTGCTTAACACGATTTTATCTCAGGAACTATAAATACAAATGAGCTGAAATTTTCAGGGATTGTAGTCCTTTGAAAGGGATAAAATTCAGTGAAAGATTCAGCTTTCTATCTATAATAGAAAAAAAGTTATGACCTTTTAAAATTTTCCAAAATCTAAATCATAAGGTAGGTACCTTCTTACTAAAACGATGAAATTTCAAATTTTTTTTTGTCGAGATTTTGTATCCTAATGGTCAATCAACATACCCCAAACTCCATACACTAAATTATTCTCAGATTTGAAGCTGAAATCTATGAAAAAAGGCACTCAGAAAAATTGAAAAATTGATAAATCACCCCAAATTGCTTAACACGATTTTATCTCAGGAACTATAAGTGCAAATGAGCTGAAATTTTCAGGGATTGTAGTCCTTTGAAAAAGATAAGATTCAGTGAAAGATTCAGCTTTCTATCTATAATAGAAAAAAAGTTATGACTTTCAAAGTTTTCCAAAATCTTAATCATAAGGTAGCTGCCTTCTTGATTTCTTGATACTCTTTAAAATATTATCCAGTGAATCACACGCTAATAATAATGAAAATTTGAACAATTACAAGCTCTAAGCTCTTAATTCCCTTTACAGAAATCATTCAACCAATCAAGATTCTAGAGCCAGTAATAATCACAATTTTACCTATCCCAGGCTCTTGATTTCCTCAATTAAACAAAAACCTGATGTATCTCATTATTTCAACTCTGATTGCCAAAAGTGTTTTTTAAAATCCTTTATACCTGAAATAATACACATTGTACCTTAGTCTGGGCACAAATTAAGCCTCATACACTCCAAAATTACCCAGAAATTTAATTCAATCCAGACTAAAGTCCTCACTTGCCAAAAATTTCTCCTGCCAGATACTTAAAATTTATGTTATCTTGACTTTCAGCTTACATTATGTTTTGAGACGCGTACCAAAAAACATTAAGTATTATTTTTTTTGCAATAGTACCTATACCTGAGTAGTTTCAATTAAGTATTGGAAAAACTGTGAGTATTTTTTTTTGTGTTTGAAAATCTATCTTTTTTGAAAAGCCAGTTATTGAAGAAGTGAAAATTTCACATTTCACAGAAATAGATTTCCTGGAACAACTAAATCATAAACTAGGTTTATAGTTCTAATAAAACTTCACAATTTCATGTGTTACTTGACTATGTAGATTTTGTGTCCAGGCATTTGAACATATAAAAATGACCCTTGGCAACATTCATACAATAATAATAATTATTGAGCCAGGAAATTCTGAGTCATACCTGTGGTCATAATTTTAATGAAAATAGATATAAGGCTTCTTTGTCTATAATAGATTCATCGATTTGCTGCCTGATATTGATCCATCAATTACCATGGAAATGGAGAAAGGTATTTGGCCCACCGACAGCCGAAAAAGTCAGTAGTGATATTTTGAAAACTGGTGTTGACGATATTGTTTTTATTTTTATTCAAAAATTTTTTTTTACTTTTTTCCAGCGGAAAATAAGTTACAATGAAGAGCTGATTGATTATAAGGAGGGAAATGGAAGGGCTGACGATGAGCGCTGAAAGTGAAAGTAACGGAGATGCAGGTCAGTGAACTCTAGAACTTGTATCACATCAAAATTTACATGAAAATGTTTCAGATTTGGAACTAAACAACGTAAAAACTTTACAAGCGTGCCTGTTTCCGCCTCAACTGACATCATCAGGCAGTTATTTTTCCAATTTCTTTGTAAAAACTTGTCAAATTGAAGACGACGATGAATTACGCTTGAAAATCAAAGAATCTTTTACGCTCAGAGAACTTTTTCCAGCGACCAAAGATACTGCCTTTGTCTTACAACCGCCTAGATGGCCTACAGAATGCCAGGTGACTCTAGATTTCCAATCAAAACTCAACTAAATCAATATTTTTGTAGGTTTTAGAAGACAAAATTGAACATATTAACTATGTGCCAGCCTCACCAGAGCCTTATTATATTGTAACTGGTAACGAATGTGAACCGAAACCTTCTGGAGAGGAATTCGGACTGATTGTTTATCAATATACGCCAATAAGTGCTGTCAATTATGTAAGAAAAATTAAATAAAATATATAAATATTTTTTAAAATATTATTATATTAGTTTAGTAGATCTAGTGTAGGAGGTAGCAGGTATTTGCTCTCCTCAACCATTTGTCCAGAGGAAGACAGTCTAAGATTTGAATCAAGATTCGAATGTGGAAATTTGGCCAGAGCAATTCGGATTACTCCGAGCTACTACGAGCTGCACCTCAGGGCCGATCTGTACACGAACCGCCACATGCAGTGGTTCTATTTCAGGGTTTCGAATACCAAAAAGAATTTTCTTTATAGGTTTGTTTATAGGTTTTATGTATAGTTCAATACTTTTCAAGTGTTTATTGTAGATTTTCTATAACAAATTGTTCAAAGGAAAGTAGTCTTTACAATGAAGGAATGCGGCCTTTGATGTATTCAAAAAAGGACTCGCAATTGCATTCTATTGGTTGGAAACGTTGCGGACAAAATATTACGTACTTTTGTAATGATAACGTGTAAGTATTATCTAGTTTTGATTATTGTTTCGGGTACAAACAGTACTGGAAATTATAGGTAGTACCAAAATATATCGTTTGGGGAACCTTACTTGACTTGCAAATTGAATTCTTCTAGAACACTATCAAAGGGTAAATCACCATCTCAGAATTGGTGCAAGCAACTCCTTAAAGGAAAACTTTTTAGGGATAATTCCTCGGAATTTCTCCAGATACCTTATCACAAATTCCTCCAAATACCTCACCACGAATTTCTCCAAATACCTTTCAAATTTCCCACAAATGTCTTTCCTGGAAAACTAAAGAAGGGAAAATTTTGAAACTTTTTGCATGTAAAGAGGAACGTGAGAAGCTCATTTTCCCAAAATTTCAAATTTTTCCAGTGGAAAATAACAACATGAGGAATATTGGAAATTAACCTACAAAAACTGAATTAATTGAAAATACAGTCTCACACATTTCAAAGTTTTCTTAAAAAACTAGTGAAGGGACAAATTTGAAACTTTTTACACGTAAAGAAGAAGGTGAGAAAATTATTTTCTCATAGTTTCAAATTTTTCCAGTGAAAAACAGCACCATGAAAAATCTTGGAAATCAACATACAATAACTGAATTAATTTAAAATACAGTCTCACATATTTCAAAGTTTTCCTGCAAAACTAAAGAAGGGAAAATTTTGAAACTTTTTGCATGTAAAGAGGAACGTGAGAAGCTCGTTTTCCCAAAATTTCGAATTTTTCCAGTGGAGAATAACAACATGCGGAATATTGGAAATTAACTTACAAAAACTGAATTAGTTGAAAATACAGTCTCACACATTTCAAAATTTTCTTAGGAAACTAGTAAAGGGACAAATTTGAAACTTTTTGCATGTAAAGAGGAAAGTGAGAAGCTCATTTTTCCAAAATTTCAAATTTTTCCAGAGGAAAATAACAACATGAAAAATATTGGAAATTAACCTACAAAAACTGAATTAGTTGAAAATATAGTCTCACACATTTCAAAGTTTTCTTAGAAAACTAGTGAAGGGACAAATTTGAAACTTTTTACACGTAAAGAAGAAGGTGAGAAACTTATTTTCTCAAAGTTTCAAATTTTTCCAGTGAAAAACAGCACCATGAAAAATCTTGGAATTCAACATACAATAACTGAATTAATTTAAAATACAGTCTCACATATTTCAAAGTTTTCCTGCAAAACTAAAGAAGGGAAAATTTTGAAACTTTTTGCATGTAAAGAGGAACGTGAGATGCTCGTTTTCCCAAAATTTCGAATTTTTCCAGTGGAGAATAACAACATGCGGAATATTGGAAATTAACTTACAAAAACTGAATTAGTTGAAAATACAGTCTCACACATTTCAAAGTTTTCTTAGGAAACTAGTAAAGGGACAAATTTGAAACTTTTTGCATGTAAAGAGGAAGGTGAGAAGCTCATTTTCCCAAAATTTCAAATTTTTCCAGTGGAAAATAACAACATGAGAAATATTGGAAATTAACCTACAAAAACTGAATTAGTTGAAAATACAGTCTCACACATTTCAAAGTTTTCTTAGAAAACTAGTGAAGGGACAAATTTGAAACTTTTTACACGTAAAGAAGAAGGTGAGAAACTTAGTTTCTCAAAGTTTCAAATTTTTCCAGTGAAAAACAGCACGATGAAAAATCTTGGAAATCAACATACAATAACTGAATTAATTTAAAATACAATCTCACATATTTCAAAGTTTTCCTGCAAAACTAAAGAAGGGAAAATTTTGAAACTTTTTGCATGTAAAGAGGAACGTGAGAAGCTAGTTTTCCCAAAATTTCAAATTTTTCCAGTGGAGAATAACAACATGCGGAATATTGGAAATTAACTCACAAAAACTGAATCAGTTGAAAATACAGTCTCACCTATTTCAAAGTTTTCCTGAAAAACTAGTGAAGGGACAAATTTGAAACTTTTTGCATGCAAAGAGGAAGGTTAGAAGCTCATTTTTCCAGAATTTCAAATTTTTCCAATGGAAAATAACAACATAAGGAATATTGGAAATCAACCTACAATAACTGAATTAATTGAAAATATAGTCTCACACATTTCATAGTTTTCCTAGAAAACTAGTGAAGGGAGAAATTTGAAACTTTTCGCATGTAAAGAGAAAGGTGAGAAGATCATTTTCCCAACATTTCAAATTTTTCCAGTGGAAAACAGTAACATGAAAAATTTTGGAAATCAACCTACAAAAACTGAATTAATTGAAAATACAGTCTCATAAATTTCAACGTTTTCCTGGAAAACCAAAGAAAGGGAAATTTTGAAACTTTTTGCATATAGAGAGAAAGGGGAGAAGCTCATGTTTCCAAAATTTCAAATTTTTCCAGTGAAAAATAACAACATGAGGAATATTGGAAATTAACCCATAAAATCTGAATTAGTTGAAAATACAGTCTCACACATTTCAAAGTTTTCCTGGAAAACTAGTAGAGGGAAAATTTTGAAACTTTTTGCATGTAAAGAGGAAGGTGAGAAGCTCATTTTCCCACAATTTCAAATTTTTCCAGTAGAAAATTACAACATGAGGAATCTTGGAAATCAACTTACAAAAACTGAATTAGTTGAAATACAGTCTCACACATTTCAAAGTTTTCTTAGAAAACTAGTGAAGGGAAGATTTTGAAACTTTTTGCATATAAAGAGGAAGGTGAGAAGCTCATTTTCCCAAAATTTCAAATTTTTCCAGTGGAAAATAACAACATGAGAAATATTGGAAATTAAGCTACAAAAACTGAATTAGTTGAGAATACAGTCTCACACATTTCAAAGTTTTCCTGGAAAACTAGTGAAGGGACAAATTTGAAACTTTTTGCATGTAAAGAGGAAGGTTAGAAGATCATTTTCCCAGAATTGCAAATTTTTCCAATGGAAAATAACAACATAAGGAATATTGGAAATCAACCTACAATAACTGATAAATTTATCATTTACAGTCATCTGTAATATTGACAATTGTCAAAGAAAACAAGGCTTACTTTGAAATGTCAGTATTTTGACGTTTTGTTGTTATGACTGCGGTGTTGCCATATTTTTTTTTCAAATCACGAGCCCGAAGGGCGAGAGTAAGTTCAATTACGAGCCTGTAGGGCGAGAATTATTTAGATCACGAGCCCTGTAGAGCGGGAGTTTTTCTAATTACGATTGAAAACTGGGAATGATTTCTTTAGGATTTTCCATGATTCACCAATATGGCGGCGATTACCAAAAACAAGGCAGATAAGCAAGCTTGTAAGTGTGTATCATCCTTGCTCAAAGCCTACTTGGTTTGATACATTTTTCAAGGCCTACTACAAAACAAGGCCTACTTTGAAATGTCAGTTTTTTTGACGTTTGTTGTGTTATGAGCAATGTTGCCATATTTTTTCCAAATCACAAGCCCGAAGGGCGAGAGTCAGTTCAATAACGAGGGCGAGAGTTTTTCTAATTACGATTGAAAACTGCTTATGCGTTACATCTAAAGATTGATTGATTTCTTGAAAAATTCCTATGATTCCCTCAAGATTTCCTTTGAGTTTTTCGAGATTTCCTTTGATTTCCTATGATTTCCTCATAATTTCCCTTGATCGCCTTAGATTTCCTCGAATTTGTACTCCAGATTTCCCTTGGGTTTTCAATAAGTAATCCTTTCGCTTGTCAAAAATATGACATTCAACATTGCCCAGCAGTGTTGCCGACGTTTAAAAAAATAGGATGTGGAAAATTGGAAATTTTCAAGGCCCATTTGGGCTTTTTTTAAAAATCTTTGACCCTCAATGATTCAGACAATAACGTAGTTGGCAGCACTGTCTGACAAATGACAGAGCAGGCTTTGAAAAATTTCAAAATTTGAAGTTGGCAAACTGTTATACCGACATTGCTATACATGTTTTCAAAGTCCAAACATGATACACACAGGTTCTGTCTTTGTCGGTGTTATGAAAATATGAATATGAGCGACGAAAACAGCATTTTCGTTTTTGTGAGAACCTCCCTGTTATTTCTCGCATTGACGTAGGCTGTTTAGAAAGCTGATGACTTACTTATGACATCGGAAATGGTGACATACCGATATATCGACAATTACCAAAAACAAGGCAAATAAGCAATCCTGTAAGTGTGTCATCCTTGTTCAAAGCCAACTTGGTTTAATACATTTTTCGCTTGCAGTTATCTGTAATATTGACAAGTGTCGAAGAAAACAAAGGCCTACTTTGAAATGTCAGTGTTTTATTGTTTGCTGTGTTATAACTGCGGTGTTGCCAATTTTTAGGGCGAGAGTTATTCCAATTACGGGCCTGTAGGGCGGGAGTTTTTCTAATTACGAGCCCGTAGGGCCGGGGTCTTTATAAATTACGAGCCCGTAGGGTCGGGGTTTTTCTAATTATAATAAATAAGCCCGTAATGCAAGGGTTCTTTTATTTATTTCACTCATTTTCAGGTCAGAATTTGTACTCATTAGTTCAAAAACTCACTCATTTTTTCCAAGATCCTTAAGATTTACCTTAGTTTCCTTATAATTTCTCCGAAGTGCCTAGAATCCACGGATTTCTTCTGGATTTCTCCTAATTTGTATACTAGATTTCCCTTGCGGTTTACCCCTGGTCAGTTTTTGTACATTAAATTACGGTTTAATGATTTACCATGGTTTCCCCTATTCTTCTGATTACCAGTAAGATATTTCCCATAACAAAATAGCCTCAAATTATAAAGATTTTTGGAAACTGCGTATGCGTTAGATCTAGAGATTTCCCTTGATTTCCTTATGATTTCCCCTGACTCAAAATTTCAAATTTTTCCAGTGGAAAATATTAACATGAGGAATATTGGAAATCAACCAACAAAAACTGAATTAGTTGAAAATACAGTCTCACACATTTAAAAGTTTTCCTGGAAAACTAGTGAAGGGGCAATTTTGAAACTTTTTGCATGTAAAGAGGAAGGTGAGAAGATTATTTTCCTAAAATTTCAAATTTTTCCAGTGAAAAATAGTAACACGAAAAATTTTGGAAATCAACCTACAAAAACTAAATTAGTTGAAAATACAGTCTCACACATTTCAAAGTTTTCTTGGAAAACTAGTGAAGGGAAACTTTTGAAACTTTTTGCATGTAAAGAGGAAGGTAAGAAGCTCATTTTTTCAAAATTTCAAATTTTTCCAGTAGAACATTACAACATGAGGAATCTTGGAAATCAACCTACAATAACTGAATTAATTGAAAATACAGTCTCACACATTTCAAAGTTTTCCTGGAAAACTAGTGACGGGAAAATTTTGAAAGTTTTTGCATGTAGAGAGGAAGGTGAGAAGCTCATTTTCACAGAATTTCAATTTTTTTCAGTGGAAAATAACAACATAAAAAATCTTGGAAATCAGCTTACAAAAACTGTATCCATTATTCTTTTGAATTTTTCAAATTTGACAATTTCCTTTAAATTCCTCATAAATTCCTTAAAAATTCTCCCAAATTCCCCATAAATTCCTTCAAATTCCCTATAAATTTCTCAAATTCTCATAAATTCGGATGAGTTCCTTCAAATTTCTCTAAATTCCCCACATTTTTGGCAAGGAATTCCTAGGTGGTTTGCCCCTTGAACACTATCCAACCAATCATGAGTCAAGTAATAATTAAAATTTGGTCAATCATTGGGTTTTGATTCCTCGAAGAATATCATTCAGCCAATCAAACGCCGGTGATAATCAAAATTTGAACAATTCTATAGGCTCTTGATTCCCTCTAGAGAAATTATCCGGCGAATCAAGACTCAAGAGCCGGTAATAATCAAAATTTTGAGTATTAGTGGGTCTTGATTCCCTCTAGAAAATAATCCAGACCAAACAAATCTGACTAGAGTATATATACAAATCCAGAAGAAAATCGGGACTAATAATTATACAACCCATTTCACTATAGGATCATCCCTGTACAAGCTAATTCGCCTTATCACTCCTAATGTGTCTAGTAAGTTGATTCAATCTGTATAATTATCAACTGGGCTCCAATGAAAAAAAACTCAAACCAGTTAAAAATTGCACCTTTCCACACGTGCACCGATCCAGTTGCCAAAAATTCTGAACAGGTAAACGTCACCCGAAAGTTCAAATTTTCCGTGTCGCATCACTCATCCAATCCATCCACATGAATCCGTCCAAATCCAGCCAAGAATTCGGCGGCGGTCTCGATACGAAATTGGACGGCGCCGGCGAAATCGTTTGGCTGGAAAAATCGAAAACTTTTCCGGACATCGCCGACCGGCCGAGCGCTTACTATTCGGCCCCGATACCCGAACAAAAAGATGAAACCGACAATCCGGACGTGCAAATTTTGTATTCCAGAAGTACCGATACTAATGAAGAAGGGCTAGCGCCGCCGAGAAGACAACCATCGAGTTTTAGCAAGATTTTTAGGGCATTGACTTGTTGTTTTTCTAAGAGGAATCATGACTGAAATAAATCTTACTTGGGATTGTTTAAGTTTAGTTTTATTTAAGTGGCAACAATCCAATAATTGTCCTTATTCTGTTAGTAACACATTAATCGTCACTCTTTGGAAAGTTGCTGGGGCGTTCTTTAGTCCAAAGGGCATTCGTTATTTCAACATTGAATTCTGTCGGTTTCAGGGACTCATTATAGAATAAAGACCCAACAATTCACAAATAAGTTTTTTTATTGAATAATCGTTCATCTTAATTAATTGTACACTTTTTTTTTTAGTACATCTGAAGATCCAGACCAGCCTCAAACCTACACGTTAACCTTCACAGTGACTTTTCCGCACGATGATGACGAAGTCTATTTGGCCCAATGTTATCCTTATACTTATTCAAACCTTCAGGTGAGTTGATGTAGCCAGGGGACTGAAGCCTAAACTAGAGTTTGTTCCAGGAACATTTGGCAGAAATTCGAGCGCACCCTGTCAAGCAAACCTACAGCGCAGTGAGGCTTTTGTGCAGATCTTTGGCAGGCAATGATGTTTATTTTGTTACAATTACTTCGCCTCAAGTACCAGGAGAACCAAAGGTAAATTGATGCATTTTTTTTTTTTCTAGTATTGAATTATGTTATCCATAGAAAAAACGAGCTGTAGTTCTTACGGCTAGAGTGCACCCGGGTGAAACCCCGTCCTCCTGGATAATGAAAGGGATTTTGGACTTTTTAACTGGGGATTCGGCTCCAGCAAAAGACCTCAGGGATAAGTTTATTTTCAAAATTGTCCCGATGCTGAATCCAGATGGTGTGATTGTTGGTAATAACCGGTGCTCGTTGTCCGCAAAAGATTTGAACCGGCAATACAGGACGGTGATGCGGGACGCTTATCCGTCTATTTGGTATACCAAGTTGATGGTTAGAAGGTAAGAATTGGTTTGGTTTTGGTAGTTATACCTGAAACGGTATGCCTTTTGGATTAAAGAACGCCCCAGCAAACTTCCAAAGGGTATTAAATCATAACTCCATTAATAATAACTCAATCGCTTTGAGATTTTAGTATTTTTTACATTGAATCTTTAGGAAAAAGTCCTCAAAATTTCAACTCTCCACTCACTTTTGTTTTTGACTGAAAAAATTGTTTATAGAGTATCACTTTACAAAATTTCATTATTTTAAAAAAATCATAACTCCATTGATAATAACTCAATCCCTTTGAGTATTTAGTATTTTTTACATTGAATCTTTAGGAAAAAGTACTCAAAATTTCAACTCTTCACTCTCTTTAGTTTTTGAGTGAAAAAATTGTTTGTAGAGTATTACTTTACAAACATCATTATTTTAAAAAAATCATAACTCCATTAATAATAACTCAATTCCTTTGAGTTTTTAGTATTTTTTACATTGAATCATCAGGAAAAAGTCCTCAAAATTTCAACTCCTTACTCACTTTAGTTTTTCAATGAAAAAATTGTTTGTAGAGTATTACTTTACAAATATCATTATTTTAAAAAAGTCAGAACTCCATTAATAATAACTCAATCCCTTTGAGTTTTTAGTATTTTTTACATTAAATCTTTAGGAGAAAGTACTCCAAATTTCAACTCTCCACTCACTTTAGTTTTTGAGTGAAAAAATTGTTTGTAGAGTATCACTTCACAAAACATCATTATTTTAAAAAAGTCATAACTCCATCAATAATAACTCAATCCCTCTGAGTTTTTAGTATTTTTTACATTGAGTCATCAGGAAAAAGTCCTCAAAATTTCAACTCCCCACTCACTTTAGTTTTTGAGTGAAAAAATTGTTTGTAGAGTTTTACTTTATAAAACATCATTATTTTAAAAAAGTCAGAACTCCATTAATAATAACTCAATCCCTTTGAGTTTTTAGTATTTTTTACATTAAATCTTTAGGAGAAAGTACTCAAAATTTCAACTCTCCACTCACTTTAGTTTTTGAGTGAAAAAATTGTTTGAAGAGTATCACTTTACAAAATTTCATTATTTTGAAAAAATCATAACTCCATTAATAATAACTCAATCCCTTTGAGTTTTTAGTATTTTTTACATTGAATCATTAGGAAAAAGTACTCAAAATTTTAGCTCTCCACTCACTTTACTTTTTGAGTGAAAAAATTGTTTGTTGAGTATCACTTCACAAAACATCATTATTTAAAAAAAGTCATAACTCCATTAATAATAACTCAATCGCCTCGAGTTTTTAGTATTTTTTACATTGAATCTTTAGGAAAAAGTCCTCAAAATTTCAACTCTCCATTCACTTCAGTTTTTGAGTGAAAAAATTGTTTGAAGGGTATCACTTTACAAAACATCATTATTTAAAAAAAATCATAACTCCATTAATAATAACTCAATCCCTTTGAGTTTTTAGTATTATTCACATTGAATCTTTAGGAAAAAGTCCTCAAAAGTTCAACTCTCCACTCACTTTAGTTTTTGAGTGAAAAAATTGTTTTAATGGAAGATATATTACTAGGATTACAGAATAGAATCAAGTTTTGACTATCACTGGCGCTTGATTGATAAACTTCTAGAAGGGCTCAAGAGCCGGTGATAGTCCAAATTTTGATTATTACCGGCAAAATTTTCTTCTATTGCTGATGATCCAATTCCCAAAACAGCCTTCGTAACACCAGACGGGCATTACGAGTATTTGAGAATGCCTTTCGGACTAGTAAATGCACCAGTAGTTTTCCAGCGATTTTGGGTTTATTGCGATTTACTTCGGTGATGGCCTACATGTTCTTCGATTAGTGACAATTACGTACAATATGAATGGCTAGACAATTTTCCTAGAAGACGACTCCGATTAATACCGCGTCATTGCTGTTTCAGATTATTAGAAGAGTGCGGTGTCGCTTTGTACTGTGACTTGCACGCCCATTCCCGCAAGCACAACATATTTATCTACGGTTGCGAAAATAGACGAGGAGCTGACAGAAGACTGCAAGAGCAAGTTTTCCCTTTGATGTTGCACAAAAACACTGCCGACAAGTTTTCCTTTGAAAGCTGCAAATTCCGAATTCAAAAGGCCAAAGAGGGAACTGGAAGAGTTGTAATGTGGATGATGGGTATAGCGAATAGTTATACATTGGAGGCTTCATTTGCTGGTTCGATTTTGGGGGCCAGAAATGAGAGTCACTTTAGTACGCAAGACTATGAGCAAATGGGGAGGTCTTTTTGTCAGACTTTGTTGGACTTTTATGATGAGGATCCAAGAAAAGTAACTTCATTATTTAAGTTTTACTGTAATTGTTATTATGGATGTTTGTTTCTAGGAGAAATTGAGAACCAAAATTATTGAGAGGTTGACCAAAGAAGGTTCCAATGCTGACGAGCCCACTAATATTCCTCTAAGCGATTATTCGAGGTACAAGAAAAGGCGCAAACACCCTCCACCCTCAGCACTTTAGACACACAATTATACTCACTCAATAATTTTTGGTGACGACACCGCACCTGGTAAAAAGTTTTTTTGTCTGTTGCTTTTTTGTGCCGTCCCAAACACTCTCTTGACAATTTTATCATTAGTTTAAAAAGACATATTTTTTCCAGTGATGAAGGTGATACATCTAGCAGTAGCGACGAAGTGGGCAGAGATGAAAAAGAAGAAGAAGAAGAAGATGATGATTTAGTGGTGCCTCAGCCTCCGCCACCTTCTCCAACAACCAAAAAACGTTCCAAGCTTAAACTGTATACATCACGCAGTCCAGGAGCTCAAAGGAAACCTTTACCGGTGAATACTAAATACGATTTAGAACTTAGAGATTACACTCAGTACGAAATCGATCACCCCGAATGCGACACTCTTTTAATCGAGCAAAGAGTGATTTGGAGTAAAGCCCAAAAAGTGCACTTAGTTGATTTGCCTGAAGTTTCTGTAGCAAAATTGCACCCATAAATAAAAAGCTTTTAGTTGAATAAAAATGAGTTTTAATTATTGCTTTATAGATTTGTAAAGCCACCCTTAAGTTATCTTTATCGGATAAGGAGTATATTGAAACTAGTTCTGATAGTAGTGAGGAGCAAGAGGAAAAAATTCATAAAACGCCTATTAAGTTTAGGAAAAGGAAAAAGAAGAAAAAAGCTATTAAGAAACAGGTAACTATAAGCTTGAGGAGGATTTTACCAAAAATTTAATTTTTGTAGCAATTACAGGAACATTCCGATAGTGAAGTAAACTACAAAAAGGCCCCAACAACTTTGTCAGTATTCGATTTAATTGCCAACGAAAAAATTCCCCGTCAAATTACAACGCAGCGTTCGAAAACACCTCAACCAAAGTCAGCATTTGCATTATCCTGACATTCTTGGTTAAATTATTTGGTTTTTAGGATTCAGCGAAACGAAACAACCAGACAACTATCCGAAGTGCAAGCCAAATTGTTCACTTTGAAAAACAAGTTGTGGTTTGGGGCTGGACAAGGGGATTCGCCAATTTGTTGGGGAACTGATAATATGTTGAAGCAAAAGTAATAGGTACAAAATTTTTTTAATTTATAAATAAGTGAATTGTTTTAGGTTTGTCAAAAAGCCTCAAAAAAACAATAATAAAAAAGACTCAAAACTCAAAGAAGACAAACCTGAAAAGGCTGGAAAGAAATTACAAAAAAGGTATTATAACGTTTAAAGGTTGCGCCACAGTGTCAAGGAATTTGTGTCGTTTTTTGCAGCGGAATAAAGAAAAGCCTGAAGAAATCGAAAAGCTTGCAAGATGGGCCTCAAGCTGAAGCGGAGCCGCAACCAAAATCCAAGAAAAAGAAGAAAAAGGGCAATTTTTCGAAAAAGGCCAAAGCTGTCAGCAACGCTAAGATTTTCGTGACGGCTTCTTGAAAGAGACTGATTTTATGTCTTGGTATTTTAATCTTCGAATTTATTTATTGATATTTGAATAAACTTTGTTTGTACTTAAGTATTTGGCTTTTGATGAATTTTCTCTTGACATGTTGGCGACTGCAATTTAATTGATAGCTTGGAAAGTTTGAGAGCTACTGGCTCCAATTGTAGTTACAAAAAAACAAAACTGATATCATGTGACGATTACTCTACTGGTCTCAATGAAGCACTTCTGCCACATCATTACCCTCTTCTAACAGTCGAAGAAATTTTTTCAAAATTACAATTTTTAGTATCATTGACCTTTCTGATGCTTCCTCCCAGTGAAGAATCAAGAAAATATTCAACAATAAACACTCATCATGGATTGTTTCAATACTATAGAATGCCATTTGGTATAAAAGTTGCCCCAGCCATTTTTCAACAAGTTATGGATAGCATGTTATCAGGTCCATATTGATGACATTTTAGTATCAGGCCAATTAAAGGAAGAACATTTTCAAAATTTAACTGAACTATCAGAAATATGCCACCGCCCCATGATATCAACACTTGAAATCCATAGCACGTGGATATGTTTACTGGCCAAATATAGACAGGGATATTATCAATTTTGTGCAAACATGCGAAGAATGTGCAAAAGTTTCAAGAAATCCATCAAAAATTTCTCAGGTAGAACAATATTTCCAAGTATTCCCCCTCGTATTTCCAAGTAAGATCAACTGGGCCATATGCCAATTTTTGACTTATTATTGATATTTGAATTTCCCACGCATAAAAATTTGTTACAATTGTGTCTCATTGATACCCTGCATGTAGTAGAAAAAACAACGCCAGGTTAGTTTCTGAGGAAAACATTGAAAATTACTTTTACAAAGTGTATCATAACAACATTGAATGCTATCAAGGCGGACATTAGAAAACCGGAAAGTAGTCATTACCAAGGCAATTGCGAGAAACTCCAATTTTCAGCACTGTACGAGCTGCAGGAAAGAGAGGCAAGGGCACAGAACGTCCTCGTCTATTTGGTCTACCGGAAATTCAAGAATTCACCCTTTGGATTTTTATTTTCAAATCTTCAAAGTTCGATATCTTGGTAACCAAAAGCGATACCGAGACAACATTTTCAAGGTTTGTAGCTCTCGATAAGGGCTTTCAGATGGTATTTAGTTGAAATCGCTAGGGTTTATAGTTTTTTAGAAAATCGAGTTTGAAGTTTTGGACAAAGTTTTGACTAAAGTTCAACTTTGGAGTTTGATTGCTCATGAACCCGTTAAGGTACTGGAACCAATATGGTACAGTTTCGAAGAGAATTCAATGCTCTTTTCAATGATATATAATTGTAGCTAATTTGCTCAAATTATATTGAAGTAATGGGCAATTATTCATGAGCGTGTCAAGATTTCCAAAAATTTCCAGAGACAAAAATTGAGATTTCCTTTAAGATTTTTTCTCTCATTATAATTCTCAAATCTAACTGATCTAAGAGTCGTTTCTGACTAATTTGAACTCGCTCTACCGATTTCTGAAGTCAAAATTTAGAAAAACTCAAAAATAAAAAATTTCGATTTTTTGCTCTTTTTTCTAAGGGGTACCCCTTTGGATTTTTATTTTCAAATCTTCAAAGCTCGATATCTTGGTAACCAAAAGCGGTACCGAGACAAAATTTCCAGGGTTTGTAGCTCTTGATGAGGGCTTTCCGATGGTATTTTGTTGAAATCGCTAGGGTTTATAGTTTTTGAGAAAATCGACTTTGAAGTTTTGGACAAAATTTTGCGAAATTTTGACTAAAGTTCAACTTTGAAGCTCGATTTCTCATGAACCCGGTGAGGTACTGGAACCAATATGGTACAGTTTTGAAGAGAATTTAATGCTCTTTCCAATGATATATAATTGTAGCTAATTTGCTCAAATTATGTTGGAGTAATGGGCAATTATTCATGAGCGTGTCAAAATTTCAAAAAATTTCCAGAGACAAAAATTGAGATTTCCTTTAGGATTTTTTCTCTCATTATAATTCTCGAATAAAACTGATCTAAGAGTCGTTTCTGACTAATTTGAACTCGCTCTATCGATTTCTGAAGTCAAAATTGAAAAAAACCCAAAAATAAAAATCTTCAATTTTTTGCACTTTTTCCTAAGGGTTACCACCCCTTTGGATTTTTATTTTCAAATCTTCAAAGTTCGATATTTTAGTAACCAAAAGTGGTACCGAGACAAAATTTGCAGGGTTTGTAGCTCTCGATAAGGTCTTTCAGATGGTATTTAGTTGAAATCGCTAGAGTTTATAGTTTTTGAGAAAATCGACTTTGAAGTTTTGGACAAAATTTTGACTAAAGTTCAACTTTGAAATTTGATTGCTCATGAACCCGTTGAGGTACTGGAACCAATATGATACAGTTTTGAAGAGAATTTAATGCTCTTTCCAATGATATATAATTGTAGTTAATTTGTTCAAATTCTATTGAAGATATGGGCAATTATTCATGAGCGTGTCAAGATTTCAAAAAATTTCCAAGAATTCACCCTTTGGATTTTTATTTTCAAATCTTCAAAGCTCTATATCTTGGTAACCAAAAGCGGTACCGAGACAAAATTTTCAGGGTTTGTAGCTCTTGATGAGGGCTTTCAGATGGTATATTGTTGAAATCGCTAGCTTTCATAGTTTTTGAGAAAATCGACTTTGAAGTTTTGGACAAAATTTTGCGAAATTTTGACTAAAGTTCAACTTTGAAGCTCGATTTCTCATGAACCCGGTGAGGTACTGGAACCAATATGGTACAGTTTTGAAGAGAATTTAATGCTCTTTCCAATGATATATAATTGTAGCTAATTTGCTCAAATTATGTTGAAGTAATGGGCAATTATTCATGAGCGTGTCAAAATTTCAAAAAATTTCCAAAGACAAAAATTGAGATTTCCTTTAGGATTTTTTCTCTCATTATAATTCTCGAATAAAACTGATCTAAGAGTCGTTTCTGACTAATTTGAACTCGCTCTATCGATTTCTGAAGTCAAAATTGAAAAAAACCCAAAAATAAAAATCTTCAATTTTTTGCACTTTTTCCTAAGGGTTACCACCCCTTTGGATTTTTATTTTCAAATCTTCAAAGCTCGATATTTTAGTAACCAAAAGTGGTACCGAGACAAAATTTGCAGGGTTTGTAGCTCTCGATAAGGTCTTTCAGATGGTATTTAGTTGAAATCGCTAGAGTTTATAGTTTTTGAGAAAATCGACTTTGAAGTTTTGGACAAAATTTTGCGAAATTTTGACTAAAGTTCAACTTTGAAGCTCGATTGCTCATGAACCCGGTGAGGTACTGGAACCAATTTGGTACTGTTTTGAAGGGAATTTAATGCTCTTTCCAATGATATATAATTGTAGTTAATTTGCTCAAATTCTATTGAAGATATGGGCAATTATTCATGAGCGTGTCAAGATTTAAAAAAATTTTCAGAGACAAAAATTGAGATTTCGTTTAGGATTTTTTTCTCTCATTGTAACTCTCGAATCAAACTGATCTAAGAGTCGTTTCTGACTAATTTGAACTCGCTCTATCGATTTCTGAAGTCAAAATTGAGAAAAACCCAAAATTAAAAATTTTCAATTTTTTGCACTTTTTTCTAAGGGACCCTTTGGATTTTTATTTTCAAATCTTCAAAGCTTGATATCTTGGTAACCAAAAGCGGTACCGAGACCATATTTGCAGGGTTTGTAGCTCTTGATGAGGGCTTTCAGATGGTATTTAGCTGAAATCGCTAGCTTTTATAGTTTTTGAGAAAATCGCGTTTGAAATTTTGAAGAAAATTTTTACTAAAGTCCAACTTTGGAGGCTTGTAGCTCAAAAACCCTTTGAATAACTGGAACCAATTTAGCACAGTTTTGAAGAGAATTTATTGCTCTTTTCAATGATATATAATTGTAGTTATTTTGCTCAAATTTCATCAAAGGAGAACAACACCTGAAAATAAGGTATGTTTATGGATCGTCACCTTGAAAACTCAACCGTTGTCAAAAAACTAAGTAACATAGCTGCTGAATCTGTGGTCGAATTCACCTATTGGAATTCAAACCTACGTTCTTTTAAAAATAAGATTGACGGGTGGAGAACAAGAATTCAGAAAACCAACCCTACTTACATTTGTATCACAAAAACTTGGCTTAATGCAGAAATATCAGACTCTGCCAGGATATCGGACCTTTCGTAAAGATAGAACGGATAATGAAGGTGGAAGTTTACTTATATACATCAAGGAAATAGAAAATAATATTCGAATCCATTTCCACTATGGGTTAATGTCAGCATACCGCTGAATGAAATTCCGTCCATTTTTCTAAATAAATGTGTAAAAAGTTTAGCAACAACACTAAGTCATGCTATGAATGAATCTATGACCTCGGGGACTTTGCCAACCAGCTGGAAGCAGGCTATTTATTATAACACCAATATACAAAAAGATTTAAACCAGAAAATTATAGGCCAGTAAGCTTAATAAGCCCTGTTTGTAAGGTTATGGAAAAAAATCATAGTAAAGGAACTGGATGAATCCTCAAAGTTAAATGAGGTTATACCTGATTCGCAGAAATCGACAACAACCAACATGCTAAGATGTTTAAACGACTGGACTACAAACTCTGATAAGCACATACAAACAGATAATATTATTTACCTGGACTATAAGAAAGTCTTTCAAAAGGTGCCATTCTACAAGTTGAGCCATATTGGAGTAAGAGGCGGTCTACACACCTGAATAGGTGAATTTATACAAGGCCGAGTCTTTAAAGTGAGAGTCAACGGAGTCTGGAGTAATTAGTGGGGTCCCGCAGGGCTCTGTGCTGGGACCTCTCCTGTTTCTGCTGTAGGTTAGTGTCCTGGCTGAGAACATCAAGACAAACATCACATTTTTTGCAGACGGCACCAAGCTGTACTGTGATGCAATGAGGCAATATTCGGACATGAAAGACGATCTGGCTGCAATTTAAACAAGCTGTAAAAGACGGTAAATGAAACTCAATGCTGACAAATGTGTGGTGTTGAAAATCAAGGAAGTGAATACATCCTAAATGACTGTTTG